TGATATTTACCAAAAAAGAAATTAGAACTGCAGCTTAAAAAAACCCCATACTTTCTTAAAAATAACAAAAGTAAACATGTAACATGTTGTTTACATGTTAAGGTAAATAATTTCTATGAAAAATAACTATTTTCTAAAACAACCACCTCAGAAGAGTGGCATTGCTTTACAGGTTGGTACATCTCTTTCATGTGTGGCTTCTGACTGAGGGGATGTGTTGTTTGGTTGCAATACATGAAGAAAATCTGGCCTCACATAGACATGTGTATTTTGAACCTTTTAGATAATTCCGGATGTTTTTCTTGGTATAGTGTGCCAGAACCTGACAGGGCAAAGCAGCATCAATGGCCTTCCTTCCCTGTGAGGTTTAAGCCCACGGTCTCCCTTGCATCTTTTTTTTTTTTTAAATGAAATTTTTTTTTTTTAAAGATTTTATTATTTAATTGAGAGAGAGAGAGAGACAGAGAGAGAGGGAACACAAGCAGGGGGAGTGGGAGAGGGAGAAGCAGGCTTCTTGCCGAGCAGGGAGCCCGATGCGGGCCTCGATCCCAGGACCCTGGGACCATGACCTGAGCCGAAGGCAGTCACTTAACCAACTGAGCCACCCAGGCGCCCCTCTGCCTTGCATCTTAACGCACCTTCTGCCCATGTGTGGTTTTAAAGATTAGGTACTGCTCATTTGGGAAACACTGGCTCACTAAGTTATGGAGATCTTCCAAGTGTTGACGCATTTCATTATCCAATATCAAAAAATCATATTCTCTTAATAACATTTCGTCTGTCATCAAAAGTATATTTAAGTGTTGGGCAGCTGTCAAGCTCATGGAGGCAGACACACATATACCAAAATTCTCATTTCCACTCAGAAGCCAGAAGTTTACTTTGGCAGCACATACCATTGGTTTTCTTTGAGGTCGCAGGCTCACTGTGTTTATTTTGAGAAAATGTTTGGCATATGCCCAGTCTGTGTAGCCCTAGATCTTGCCAGTTCTTCCAAATGCAGATGCCCAGTGAGTGACACAGCCCAGCCCCTGCCCCGAGCCTTTCCTGAGTGGTCAGCAGCCCTGGATTGCTGCTTGCTTACCTTTCTGCCACTGCCTTCATGAGAAGGCCGATGGGGAGATGGCTAATCTCACTGTTTCACCAAGGGCGTTCTCAGGTGAAGTTGGCTTTACCTCCCTGAGTGCATAGCATCGAAGAATTCAGTCACTTAGAAGTTCCATTTGGTGCCACCATCTTGACTCCTGCTAAGGTGCCCAAGGAAGCACAGTGAAACAGGCAAGTGGGGTCCTAGTAATGAAGATAGCTTTGACCTCTTGGACCCGTGGAAGGGTTTTGGGACCCCAGAGAATTATTTGAGAGTGGGTGCAAGCTAGAGGTGGCTGGGATGCAGCTGTGATGGGCTGGGAGATGGGGCAAGGCCTGAGCGCTCTGGGCCTGGCCCTGAATTGACTGTGGGAGGTCGGGGGGGCACGGGGGTTAGAGGCCGTGGCCCTCTGCCCACCTTGCTGAGATGAATGGCCAAGACCAGACCCTGGGTCAAGTCAGGTGCTGCTGATAAGCTTAGAGAGCAGGCAGATAATGGGGGCAGGTGAGGCAGGCCAGGGCAGGAGAGGGTTTTCCCGGGTCCACCTGCAGGGGTATCAAAGGCTTAGCTCCATGGGGAGTCCAAGAGCCCATCCTTGGGCTCTGCCAGTGTTGCCACACCTTCTCATTTCTCCACACTCTGTAAACCCAGATTCTTTGTAAACTCTGCTACTTTTAAATTTTTTTTAAAGATTTATTTATTTCAGAGAGAGAGAGAGAAAATGCATGGGGAGGAGGGGAAGCAGACTCCCTGCTGAGCACGGAGCCAGCCCAGCTCAAACTCCTGACCCCAGGGCTCGGTTTCTGGACCTGGAGATCATGACCTGAACCGAAACCAAGAGCCGGACACTCAACCAGCTGAGCCACCAGGCGCCCCTAAACTCTCTTACTTTTAAACATTGATAGTTGATTAAAGATGGAAACTTGTGTAGGGAAGCTCTGTGAAGCTGTCTCAGTAGCGGTTCCTTGGTGACCTCGGATCTGCATCCGCCCTGCACCCAGGCTGTGTTTGTGCCAGCCCAGGTGTAGCCATCTGGAGCTGGAGATGGACAAAAAGCTTCTACTCAGCTGGTGGGGAAATCTCAGGGCTGGAGATAACGATGGTGGACAACTGTGCGATGCGGCACCTGGTGCTCTAGGAGTCTGAGAGTCTTGAATTTTCCTCGCTCCCCCCCTGGAACTGGTCCTGTCTTCCAGGAGCCTCAGTTCTCTTGGTGGGGAATGGTAAAGAGGAACCCACATTCTGTGCATGGTGTGCTGGTTGCTGCTGGGGTGTCCTTGCTTCTGGGCCCTTGCACGGCCCAGAGCTTCAGCTGTGCATGCTGGTGTCAGCTTCCTTCCTTCCTACCATGTTCCTAGATTGAAACCCAGTATCCCCACCCTCATCCTGCTGTTAGACTCAGGCCACCCACCCACCCACCTTGTACTGTCAGGATTTCCACAGCCTCCACCCTGAGCTGGAGAGTGGCAGGACTTGAAGTCTGTGCAGAAGTTTTACTTGGTTCTGCTGTTGCCAGTACAGGATTTTGTTACTGGTTTGGGCTTCGTATTCCATCTTCAACCCTCTCTTGGTTTGGTGTTGATTTTGTAGGTTTTTAGCCCTTTTGAAATGGTGATGAAGACCATGTTCCTTCTTGCTAGTACACATAGGCTCAGTGCACAGAGAGCATCTGAATTTGTGAGGGTTTTGTTCTTTCCGCTCTGGTCGTGGGCTGAGCTCACGTGGGCTCAGCCTCTGGGCCTTTGGACCTCTAGGTGTGCACACTGGCAGTGCCCTGCTCTGCTCCCACTCACCCTCCTGCATCCTCACTGCATCCAGGAACGCAGCAGATACTGGCTGTGCGTCTCGGCTGCTGCAGAGAATCCACCCAGGCGTACAGCTGTGCGGGAAGCAGACATGGCAGTGGACCCAGTGGCCTTTCTTGCTGGGTCCTCTTAGAAAGGCCTCAGTAATTCTGTTACCACATGCTCATCAGTTCCGTCTGCATGCCGCTCATTGCCGACACATTGGGGCTATGTCAGAGAACAGGACAGGCCTCTCCTGTGGAACCCAGAGTTTGCATGTTGGTGGGGTGGACAGGCTGGGTGTGTCTGATGGTTGGGGGAACCAAGGGGGCAACAAGGCAGGGTCCAGGAGAGGCTGTCTGATAAGGTGATTGGCCTCTTGAGAGGCCACAGGGTCCAGGGGCTGGAGGCTGGGGTCAGAGTGTGGAAGGGGGAGCAGAAGCTGGGCTCTGTGGCTTTCTGCCGACAGTGAACACTTGTTTCTCCTTAGTGAGCTGGGAAGACCCTGGGGTTTGAGAAGGGAGGCATCCAAGTCTGATCCCTGCAAGGAAATATTCCCCATCTTCTGGGAGGAAGTCTCTGAGCCCCTGGATTTTTCCTTGGTGCCTGGCACTGTGAATTCTGGCTTCCTGTGGCAGGAGTGGCTAAGAGAGGGATTACCGAAGGGGGTCCGCCTTTGAAAGGGGATTCACTTTGACAACCACCAGTGGGGCCACATGTGACACTCTAGGGAAAGGTGGGAGGGCCACAGGAGGAGCTGGGCCATGCTCATGCCCTCTCTTGTCCTGTGTACGTGGGGAGATGAAGTCAGGTCCGTTTAGGAGCTACAGGTGGGAGCATTCTGGAAGCACTGAGGAAGGAGGGGCTTCATGGGACTGGAGGCTGCTGTGTGACCTTGAGATGGTTTGGTGGTCCAGGGCGACAGGGTAGGGCACTGCCACTGCTCTTGGACCTGACACTTGGCGTTCAGTGAAATCAGCAGGGAGATGATTCTGTAGGTTCTGTAGGACTGTTCTGAGAATGTGTTGTGGTGTCTTTTGGAGAATGCATTCGAGATGTTAGACAGGTGTTATGGGAGTTGTGCCCTTAGATTCTGAAACTCTTAAGTGGGGAGCCTAGAGGGTCCGTGTCTCCCCCCTTTTCCTTATCCATGGATTCATGGTGGTGGCTGCCGCTACCCCTGGAGGGACCCAGTCAGAAATGTTTTGTGTGTTTACATTTGCTTCTCCAGACTCTAAACCTCCAAAAGGCAAGAAGCTTTAAAAAGCAATCCAAGAGACCTTTCGTAATTCATGCCTCCATGTAGTAGAGCAAATTTTTTTTTTTAATAATTTTTTTATTGTTAACCACCATACATTACATCATTAGTTTTTGATGCAGTGTTCCATGATTCATTGTTTGTGCATAACACCCAGTGCTCCACACAGAATGTGCCCTCTTTAATACCCATCACCAGGCTAACCCATCCCCCGACCCCCCTCCCCTCTAGAACCCTCAGTTTGTTTTTCAGAGTCCATCGTCTCTAATGGTTCGTCTCCCCCTCCGACTTACTCCCCTTCATTCTTCCCCTCCTGCTCTCTTCTTCTTCTTCTTTTTTTTCTTAACATATATTGCATTATTTGTTTCAGAAGTACAGATCCGTGATTCCTCAGTCTTGTACAATTCACAGTGTAGAGCAAATATTTAATGATTCACATTTTTATTGAATTTTCTTGGTTTATCCCTTTCTGCAATTTTTTGTAGGTTGTTAGGCGTTTGAAATACTTAGATGAATTCTTGTCAGCAGCAGAATGCACTTTGATATAATTTGTAGCATTCCTATAACAACCAAAACATTTGAGATTTCTAATTATGTAAGTAATGCATGAACACATTCTTATTATTAAAAAACTATCTCCAAAAATACAGATAAGTTAGAAGTTTTCTCGGGCTGGTTTCTGAATGCCATTCCTCCTCCTGGAGGTGACTGTTATCTGCCGGCTTGAATATCCCCTAGCTGTCCACTCCTCTGATAGTGAGTTCTTGTCTGGATCCAGATACAACGTCCATCTAGAGAAATCATGGTGGAGAATTGCTTAGTCTGCCTGCGGGTGAATCGAGGCTGATGGCTGTTTCTTCTTTAGCAGGCAGTTCCGGCGAAGGGGGAGACGAAGCAGGATTGCTGCGTGAAAACAGAGCTGCTGAGGGAAGGTAAGGGTGCAGTTTGCTCCTGCAGGAGAAGTGGCCAGGACCCCTGTCGCTCTGGCATCTCCTCACCCGTCCCTGGCTCCTGACTTGTTTCCTCTCCCCTGGATTGCTGTATGGCTTCCCATCTCCCATTCCCAGATGGACACAGTGTCACACACACAAGATCTGCTAGAGAAGGGAACCTTTACCAAAAAGTGAAAAGCAAACACCTCGTAGATCCTTGTCTTAAGTGCACCCAGAAAACTCAGAGTGAGAAGGGCCACGTGGATGTTTATGGCAGCTTTATTCTTATCACTCAAAGCTGAAACCACAACCTGTGGCGCATGCGGTGGGCGGCGCTCAGCAAACCAGGAGAAGGAACAGCTTCATTCTCACAGCAACACAGGTGATACTGAGCCTGTTTTGCTAAGTGAAGGGGGCCGGACCCACAGGCCATGTGCTTTGTGACTCCATTTGTATGATTTTGGACAAGGTAAAACCAGAGGCTGGGAAAACAGCAGATTTGCCAGGAGGTGCAGGGAGGCTGGAGAGGGCAAGCCCTGTGAGGAGCTGTAGTGGGAGGCACTCTACTCTTGTTTGTTAGGGCTGTGGAACACACCGTGACAGGTGAGTCCCGCTGTGTCACGAGGTACGTGGGGGCTGCTGAGAAGTTCATTTTGGAGAACCGCATCGTGACTGGACACCATGAGGCTGATGGCTCAGGAGTGGTGCAGACACTGGATTTCGCTTGGCTGTGTCTGTCAGGGGAGATGAGCGAGCAGCCCTGCACTGCCGCGTGGCCGCTGGAGCTGAGCAGATGAGCAACATATCATCCCGTCATCCTACCAGCTGCCCGTAAGGTTAGCGCAGGAGGAACCTGCCCGAGATCATGGCACTGTCCTCCTCACTGACGTTGGGCGCTGCTCCAAGCACTTTGGGTGTTCTGGCTGCATGCCAGCCTAATGATGTGTGGTTCTGTCTCTCTTCTAAAGAGGGGGAGCTGAGACAGGGTGCACTGCTGGGTTCAGGTCACCCAGGCTGTCAGACTGGCAGCTAGACCCCTGGTCGCGTGCAGGTAGCGCTGGCCGAGGCCACTGAGACCACCACGTGCTCATCGGCAGGACAGATGAGGACTGTGCTCCGATGGGCTCGTCTCACCAGGCCCTGCAGGTCAGCCTGCAGTGTCCCAGCACGGACCAGTGTGTCTTGTGGGTGTCAGCCTCTGAGTGCCCTGGATGCAACCCTGCATGGCCTGGTAGAAGAAGGCCGCCTTGCAGCCCATGCTGGTGGCTGTAGTGAGGCCACCCAGCATGCATTGCTGCAGCCCTGTCTGCTTCCCAGGCGGTCCAGGAGCTGCTGTGATACTTTTCACACCCACATAGCCACCTTCTCCCGTGACCACCATGTACACATCCAGGGGCCACTGTGGGTGAAGGTGGAGCACAGGCACTCCAGCGGTCCAGGCCATAGGGCAGGGCCGTCCTTGCAAGTGCATGACTTGGTGCATAAACGCAGGTTTGTAATAGAAATGCTTCCAATTCTAGTAGAATTCTGGGGACTCTTGAGAGCGGGCTGGGTCTAGAGCCTGGGGAGTGCCTGCTTTGCTTCCTAGGACTATTTCTAAGCCCTCCTCTCTCCCTGTTGAGAACCCTGCTCTCCGGAGGGACCCCAGCTCAGGTCTGACCCAGCCAGGCACTTTCCTGGCGGCTGCAGGGCCCCTGGGTACTTCATCCAGCCTGCCAGCTCCCTTGTGCTATGCCCCCTGGCCAGCCGTGGGACTTGCCACGTCCCAGAGCTGCCCCCACGCTGGTCTGCCCACACCTTCGTTCTTGGGAAGAAGACCAGCCTCAGGATTTCTTCCTGCTGCTGTGCTTCCCTCCACTCCTTGAGGCATTCTCCTCCATGGGCACGCACGGTCTCCAGCTCTTCTTCCTTCCCTGCCTCCTCCCCACCCCCCGCCCCCAGCCTTTTCTAATAGAAGTTGTGGATAAATAATGCCAGGTGCCCATTTTCCTCTCTCATACACTGCCCCTGAACCGAGGCCTTGACTCCTCCTTTTGAGGAACTGTTAGACTGCACATTTTACACTCCCACCAGCAATGTGGGAGGGGTCCATTTTCTCCACTTCCTGCCAACACTTGTTGTTACCTGTCATTTTCATGATAGCCATCCTGGTGGGTACAAAGTGGTGTCTCATTGTGGTTTTTATGTGCATTTTCCAGATGATTAGTGATGTTGAACATCTTTTCATGTGCTTATTAGCCCTTTGTATCTTTTTGGAGACGTGTCAGTTTGGATCCTTTTCCTGTTTTTTAAATTGGTTATTGATTTTTATTGTTGAATTGTCAGAATTCTTGATGTATTCTAAATACAAGTTCCTTATCAGATATGTGGCTTGCAAATATTTTCTCCCATTCTATGGCTTGTCTTTTCACTTGTTTGACAGCATCCTTTGAAGCACAGAAGTTTCTATTTTTTTTTTTAAGATTTATTTGAGAGAGCACGCGCTTACGTGCACGAGCCAGGGGGAGGGGCAGAGGCAGAGGGAGCAGCAGACTCCCCACTGAGCAGGGAGCCCGATGCAGGGCTTGATCCCAGGACCCCCCAAGATCATGACCTGAGCCGAAGGGAGACACTTCACCGACTGAGCCCCCCAGGCGCCCTGTGTGTTTAGTCTTGTAGGAAACTGCCAAACTGTTTTCCGAAGCCACGGCACCATTTGACATCACAGCCATTGTGTATGGCAGTGACATCCTGTCCTTGTCCGATTTTTTTTTTAATTTTTTTTAATTTTTAAAGATTTTTATTTATTTATTGAGAGAGGGAGAGAATGATAGCATGAGAGGGAGGAGGGTCGGAGGGAGAAGCAGACTCCCCTCTGAGCAGGAAGCCCGACGCAGGACTCGATCCTGGGACTCCAGGATCATGACTTGAGCTGAAGGCAGTCGCTTAACCAACTGAGCCACCCAGGCGCCCCCGAGTTTTTAATTACACCCATCAGTGGGTGTCAGGTGGGATCTCCGTGCTGGTTAGATTTGCTGTTTAACTTTTGAGGAGTTTTTAATCTTGATGAAGTTCAATTTATCACTTTGCCCTTTAGGGATTGTGCTTTGGTGTCCAGGATAATACGCCTTGCCTAGCCCTAGATCCTGAAGATTTTTTTCAGTTTTTTTTTTCCTTGAAGTTTCATAGTTTTACATTTTACATTTTTGTTTTTTTCTCCATTTTGAGTTAATTTTTATAGGTTCATTTCTATAATCAGTCTTTCAAAACTCAGTCATTGGTTCCCACAGTTTGTAGATTACTTTGGATTTTCTACCCAGGATCACATCAGTTACAAATAAATTTTGCTGCTGCTTTCTGACCTGAATGCCCTTTGTTACTTTTTCTTGCTTGCTTGATTGCTCTGGCCAGAACCTTCAGAATAATGGATATTAGTAGCAATGGTAGACAGCCACCGTTCGGTCCTCTGAGAGGAAGAGTGCCGTTCCCTTCTTTACCCAGTCTCTCACAGCAAGCCGACCCCACGGGGTGGGCTTTCCCATGCCCGGCATGCCTCTGGCTCTCTGCAACACCTGCTGGGCAGCCTGCAGGTCAACTCAGTTTCGACCCCACAGGTTAGGGGCTCGGTCCCACCAGACTCCCCCCACTTCAGACGCCAGCCCCAAGCAGAGGGTCCCCAGGGTGCACACAACTTGCTGCACAAGGAACTGGCTATGAATTGGAGGTTCCCACAACCCCTTCCTCGAGTTTGCAGAACTCTGGGAAACATGTATGCGCTGTCACTGGTGTGTTATAAAGGGCATGAGTCAGGAAGAGCCCAGTGGAAGTGATGCATAGGGCCGGGTATTGGGGGGGAAGGTTACAGAGCTTCTGTGCCCTCTCTGGGTGCACCACCCTCCCCATGTGGGTGTGTTCACCCACCTGGAAGCTCTCTGAACCCTGTAGTTTAGGGATTTCTGTGGCGGCATCATCACGTAGGCGTGATGGATTACTAATTCAGTCTGCCGCCCCTCCCCTCTCTGGAGGATGGGGGTAGGGCTGAAAGTGCCCAGCTTCTGACTGTGGCTTCGTCTTTTCTGGTGACCAGCCCCATCCAGAGTCACCTCAGGAGCTGTCAGGAGCCACGGGCAGAGACCACATACCTGTATCTTGTTACATCACACTTTGTAATCACATTTATCTTTCCTTGTTTCTGTTATAAGCTATGCTTTTTTTAGTATATGTGCTGCCGAAGTGAGCACATACAAGTTATGCTTTTGATGTGTAACAAAATTTCCCTGTTTCTAGGCCACAGATCTGTTTTCTACATTTTCCCTTGTTAACTTCTGAGTTTTTCAGACTACCTAGGATAAGTGTTTCCCAGACTCAGATGTGTGGATTAGCCTCCAGAGGTCTCGGTGAGGCCCAGATGTGTGGAACCCAGCTTCAGAGATTCAGAACCAGCAGGTCCAGGTGTGGCCTGGGAAATCTGCCTTCTAGCCAGCAGTCCGTGCCCTGCCCTGGACCCCGCTGTGCCTACTGGACACCCCAGCCCCCTTGTGCTGGTGCTGTGGGGAGGCCTGTTGCATCCTTCTCTGATTCAGGGATTCTGTCTCCCTGTGCCTTTACTCTTCTTTTCCATGATTTACTTTGCTGTTTGGGAAAATCTGTCCCTCTATGTTTTAGAACAAGGTGGTGGAGTTTCTCATGTACTGATGGAATTTTGAGTGGGTATCACTGAACTTACAGATTAAATTAGAGGCAGCTTAACACTTCATACTTTTGTCATCCCATTTAAGACCGTGTTTTCATTTAAAATCTTCTTCTCCACAGAGGCCTTGAGTAATCTTGTCTAAAATTTTGTATTCTTTATAGTTTTTCCTGCTTTTGCAAATAGTATTTTTCCCCCTCTCATATTTTCAAGTTAACGCCAGTGCAGGAAAATGCCCTTGAGTTTTGTAGCTTGAGTTTGAAGTGAGCAGTCTCCCTGTACTCTTATGTTTTAATTGCTAACTGATTGCATTTTTAAAATAAATGATGGTTTTGGTGCAGAGGCCAGAGTTCTTCCCTTTGTCTCCAGTCCCTCTTGTGCCAGCCGGTGCGTCTGTTTTTGTGTGAGATGTTTGGGGCATTTCTGATCTCACATTGAATTCTTTCTTTTTTAAGATTTTTTTTATATATTTATTTGAGAGAGTGCGAGAGAGAGAGCATGCATCTGCGTGCGAGCAGGGGGAGGGGCTGAGGGGGAGAGAGAAACTTAAGCAGACTCCACACTGACGGAGACAAAACTCTGTCCTTGCAGACCTCACGCTCTAGGGCAGAGGAGCCGACGGTTAATATAATGATGGGATCTCCTGTGGGGTCGGTGGAGTAAAGGGACTGGGATGTGGGCGGGGTCTTGGAGCGGGCTGAAGCTCTTTCCGCACCCAGTGGTGTCATCATGGGTTGTCTGCTTTAATCTCGCAGTGACGTCACATTGTTTGTAGATCTTCTGATGTAAAATACGTTTATTTATGACTGGTTCTGGAAAAGGTCTGTCGAGTCGTCCTCAGAGACCGAGCTTTCGTAGAGAATAGGCTTGTAGTCCGGGTATTTGTAATGGGCCTTCTGGCTGATGTATTGAAAATATGACCCTTTTTCTTGGTTTATTACCCATTTTCTTTACGTTTGTTCTTGTGAGGGTACTTCTGAGGCCTGGCTTTCTGTCTTTAATTAAACCATGCTCAGTTTTATGTTACGGTGGTGTGTTTGTTCCTGATGGATGTGCAAATCTGTGTAATGGGTTTTGAGATCTTGCTATCTTTTAAAAATTAATTTACTCAACAAATGGGGAGTCTCTATCTTGTGCTTCTGGTTTTAGACGGTGTCCCCCGAGGTAGGACTACAGGCCCTGGCTGTACCTCGCACACAGGATGGACAGATAGCTGACACACCAAGCTCCGGGTGGATTGCCCTGTTCAGGGTTTGGCCTTCTCCAAACTTTAACCAATTGATTTTCAAAGTTAATGACTAAGACATCATTTCATTATTTTTTTTTTTTTAATTTTTTAATTATTATTTTTAAGTAAGCTCTGCACCCAACATGGGGCTTGAACTCACAACCCTGAAATCAGGAGTTGCATGCTTTTCTGACTGAGCCAGCCAGATGCCCCAAGACATCACTTTATATTTAATCTATTTGAACTTAAATCTTTGTACATGAAATGAGATGATTTTTCCTTGGATAGTTTTTAAACCACTCAAGGAATGGTAACTGTGTGTGGGTTATGTCATGACAGGGCAGGGCCACAGCCTCTGATACCGTCTCCTCTGTTCACAGAGCTCTCTATGGCAGCTGATGGAGGCTCAGCAGAGAAGCAGGGAGGAGAGGCCCCTGTGGCCGCAGACAGCGAAGCCAACGGGTCCTGTGGAAAGAGCGAGGCTAGTGGTCACGTGACTGCAGCACAGCACACTCAGGAGAACACGGTGGTCAGCCCACAGGAAGGTACCAACAGACTAGCCCGGATAGCTGAAAATGGGGTTTCAGAAAGAGACAGTGAAACGGGGAAGCAAAACCACATCAACACAGATGACTTCACACAGACTTCTGTCATCGGGAGCAATGGGTACTTCTTGAATAAACCACCCCTGCAGGAGCAGCCCATGCGGATTACCAGCACTTTGGCTTCCTCGCTTCCTGGTCATGCTGCGAAAACCCTTCCCGGAGGTTCTGGCAAAGGGAGGACTCCCAGTGCTTTTTCTCAGACGCCAGCCACAGCGCCGGCCAAGCTCGGGGAAGCAAGTAAAGACGCAGAGGACAAGAAGCCCACGGCCCCTGGTGCCGACGTCAAGGTTCACAGGGCACGGAAGACCATGCCAAAATCCATCCTGGGCCTGGTAATGCGATCCCTGTTGGGACGGGGCGGCTCTCGTGTGTGTCCTGCTATTTCCTTCCTGTCTGTGTGTTCTCTATTGTCACAGTGACGGCAGATGGACTCCGTGCGTGAAGGAGAAGGGCCAGTAAATGGCAGTAGTCACCCAACAGGTGGTTGTCTCTGGGCCTGGGAAGATTAGGAGAGGCTGCTGACAGTTCAGGCGTGAACCATAAGCAGACGATCCCTCTGAGCCCAACTTCTGGGCTTTGTGCTGCTTCTAGGTGACTGTTGCCCACTAAGACAAGATGCATCAGATGCTTGCACAGAGACCTCCCCTCTTCTGCTTTGGGCCTGGGGGCTTTCATTGCAGCTTGGGAAGACTGAGCGCTGACTCTCTCAGGAAATAAGTAGCCCATGAAGTTGGCTAGGTTCTTGATGTGACAGAAGGAAGGGACGAGGGCACACTGAAGACATGCCCATGCCTCTGTTTTCACGCCAGGCTCCTGGGCGCAGGGAACAGGCAGCGAGAACCCAGCATCATGCTGGGTGAGGTGGCTTTGGCCATCGGCAGGCATTCTGTGCCTGTGCCTGGTGCGTTTTCTCAGAATGTCCACAGTCATTTTTTTTTTTTTTTTTAAGATTTTATTTGTGTATTTGTCAGGGAGAGAGAGAGAGAGCGCACAAGCAGGGGGAGCAGCAGGCTGAGGGAGAAGCAGGCTCCCTGCTCAGCAGGGAGCCTGATGTGGGACTCAATCCCAGGACCCTGAGATCATGACCTGAGCCGAAGGCAGACGCTTAACCGACTGAGCCACGTAAGAGTCCCCACAGTCGTGTTTTTCCCTCCCAGTTCTATGTTGATCTGGCTGGGGATGAGTTCTGGGTCTGTTAGATGTGTTCCCTTGGGATTTCTTGTACTTGGCATTCCTGGTGAGCATACTAAAGCTAGTCTGACTGTGTGGCATTAGTAGGTCATGTGCGGTTTCCTCTCTGCAACCTTCCAGGGCTGCACGAACAGGCCTGTCCCCAGGGGCCCTGTCAATCTGAGATGTATGTCTTTCTGCAGTTCTAGAAAAATGCTTTGTGCAGTTTCTCTTTCTGTGGAGCTCTTGACATGCTTTGGTTTCTTCTTTAGCACTTTACATTCTTGCTACTCATTCTATATATTGATGATTTTACTTTTGACATTTTTTTTCATACCCAGTATCTCTAATTAGTTTATTCAGTTACATTTTGTCTTGTCCTTCAAAAGACGTTAGCTACAATTCTTTTATTGTCTCTGCTATGACTCCTGCTTCCTTAGGTGGGAGTTTGTGTTGATGTTTCTCCCCAGGGGTGTGCTCATCTTTCTTTCTGTGGTTTTGATGGCTTGACTGTGAGTTCCACTGCATTTCCTGTAGCTGCCGGCAATGATTGTGGGGACCAAGGGTGCACCGTGGGGCTGCACTGCTGACCGCCCCATGCTGTTGGGCCCCTGGAGCTGCCGTGGCATCCCTGCACTAGGATAGCCAGGGCTCGGCAGCCCGACTCCCATGTCTCACTGTGTGGGCCTTGCCCCTCCTGGTCTGTCCGGCCCTAACTTGGTTTCCACCGTTTGCAATATTCTTGTGTACGTTGCACAACTTGAAAAAACCTTTTTAATAATTAGGAATTCACAGGAAGCTGCACAAATAGTACAGAGAGACCCCATGTATCCTTCACCCGGTCTCCCCCAGGGTAACATTTTACACAGCTAGAGCACAGTGTAGATTTCTGTGAACACCCAGCACCGAACAGCTCCCAGTGCCTCCCTCCATCCCCACCCACCCTGTCCCCAAGCCCTGTTCTCCATCTCCATAGCTGGGTCACGTCAGGTGTTCTGTAAGAACGTGGGGCCTTTGAGAGCAACTCTGTTCCTGTGGGACTGACCACATTGTGTCAGTGGCTCCTTTCCTTTTCATGCTGAGGGCTTTTCTGTGGTGTGTATGTCCCAAAACTTAACTGCTCACAGGTTCAAGGGCATTTGGGGGTTTTCCAGTTTGGGGCTGTTACATTAAAGTTACTCTGGACATTTATGTACAGATTTTTCTTCTCTCTTTCTCTCTTTTTTTTAAGATTTTATTTATTTATTTGACAGAGAGAGACACAGAGAGGGAACACAAGCAGGGGGAGTGGGAGAGGGAGAAGCAGGCTCCCCACTGAGCAGGGAGCCCGATGCAGGGCTAGATCCCATGCGTGACCTGAGCCGAAGGCAGACGCTTAACGACTGAGCCACCCAGGCGCCCCTTGTCTTTGCTCAGATTTTTCTTTAGACGGAAATTTTCATTTCCCTGGGTTAAATGTCCAGGAATATAATTGCAGGGTCATATGTTAATTGGATATTTAGCTTTATAAGTAACTGCCAAACCAGATTCCCGACATTTTGCATTCCCAGAAGCAGGGTATGAGCAGTTTGGTTTCTCACATTGTTGCTGGCATTTAGCATCGCCACTAGTTTTTATTTTAGCTGTGACACCTCATCATGGTTTTAATTTGAACACTCTTAATGGCCAGTGATGCTGAACATCTTTTCGTGTGCTTATTTGCCATCTGTACGTCCTTTTTCGTGAAATGTCTTTCATACCTCTTGCCCATTTCACAACTAATTGTTTTGTGAGCTTTCAGAGTTCCGGGTATGAGCCCTTCACCATGGACCCGTTTGCAGACTTTTCTTGGTCTGTGGCTTGTCCTCACCCTCCCAGTAAGGTCTTTCCTAGAGGACAGGTATCTCATTCTGACCAAGTCCACGTCATCAGTGTTTCTTTCTTTTATGGCTTGTGCTTTTGGCATCATGTCTATAAACTCTTCACCTAGCCCTGGGTCTCAAGATTTTTCTGTAATTTTTAATGAAGTTTTTTATTTTTTATAGTTTTATATTTTTATGAATATATGGTCTATGTTGAGTTAGTTTTTGTATTAGACATCAGGTTTAGAATAACATTCATTATTTTTGCCTGTCATTTTTTGGCTTACCATTATCAATTTTAAAATGCAAGTCAGAAACTTTACATTATTCATCTGTGTCCTTGAAATTATACTTTTATTCTGTTCTCATTTCCGGGATTTTGTTCTAATACATGTTTATTCTTGGGGATCTTTATTGTCGCTCTGTCATATTCCTCTGAGGAAAAAAAAGGCAATTGGAAATTTAACTTCAAGAAATTTCTCTGACCATATAGGCTTATCTGAGTGTTAGCTGTGTGCTGAGTTGTTATACTTGTTCATGGTGTGCGGTTGGTGGTCACACGTAGCATTGGAGTCAGCTGTAGGGACAGAGGGCAGGAGGGTGCTGAGACTTCAGGAGTGGATTTCCTGAGGGCCACCCCGCCTCCGCACACCTGCGGACTTCATCTGCCCCTGGGGCCCCATGGGAGGGCGGAGGGCACAGTGGTGTAGCGACAAGTCAAGGCAAGTCAAGGCAGTGGGGTCCCCGAGGGCCCCTCTGATAGGGAGCCCCCTGGCTCCGGACCTGGCCTCTCCTGCCCTTGGAGTTCCCTGCTCCCCAAAGCCAGTTCAGTCTTGTTTGGCTTTCTTGGGAGACCTTCTTCTATTGAAAATTGTGTTTTAAAATCAGTCATTCCAGTGATGAGTGTTGCAGGCTTGTGATAATAAAACCATTTTGTTCGTAAGAGTTTAAAAATGAAGGTGTGTTCTTGCTGCATGGCTGATATCCCTTGGCAGCATGGAGGCTCCTTCTCAGCCAGTGTTGGTCCTGTCAGAAAGCACCAGCACAGGGTGCAACTCATTCACTGTTTGGGCAGAGAAAGCAGAAGCTTCTGGAAGGGAACCTTTTTCCCTTGCATTGAAATGTTTGTTACTGTGTCCTGTGTTGCAGACTGTCTCCCTAGTTGAATTGTGCAAGCTCCTTTGGGCCTCAGCATGGTGGCCCTCCAGCCTTCTCCCTTTTCTTTTCTTCTTTTTTTAAAGATTTTTATTTGACACAGAGAGAGAGAGCGAGAGAGGGAACACAAGCAGGGGGAGTGGGAGAGGGGGAGAAGCAGGCTCCCCACTGAGCAGGGAGCCCAACTCGGGGCTCGATCCCAGGACCCCGGGACCATGACCCGAGCCGAAGGCAGACGCTTCACGACTGAGCCCCCCAGGCGCCCCCGGCCTTCTCCGTTTTCATCCTTGTCACCATTCTCCCAATCCGCTTTCGTGCGTAACCGCTGCCACTGGTATTCTCTAGGGTTTGGACAAAAGATGTGGCCTTTTTCTTGGAGCTCTCAGCCTGGTTAGAGAGGTAGTTTTGAATGCCGAAATTGTGCAAGTCCTTGTTCGTTGCCATTGGAATTAAGTATCTGGAAAGAGAAGTAGGCTGGGCTAAGAGTGCTCACACTGAGCTGACATGGGTCTGGCTGGTGGCTCAGGGACTGGCCGCCTGTCAGAAGGGGAGAGCCGATGCACAGAACACCGGCGGGGTGGGTTGGGGTGGTGGGTAGGGCCAGCAAGGGCCAGACCCCGTAGACCTCCGGCACCTGGGCCAGAGCAGCATTGTGGCCACCCCTCTCTGCAGCCTGTGCCACAGGTCCTCCCTCTGTGTGGGAGGCAGCGGCTGGCTGGGTGCTCAGGGCTCCATCATAGCAGTGGGCGCCCCTCCGTGAAGTCAGGTGCTGGCCTGCTCTCTCCATGGGAAGTAGATGTGTCTTTCATCTTTTTTGCTGTTGTCAGAGAGTAGAGCCCTGACAGAGTCTAGAATCTTCACCCAAGTTCAGCAGCTCTTGATTTTTTTTTTCTTTCATATTTTCAGAAATAATCTCCTAAAGATTTTGTGTCTAAATGAGAATTAGCCTCACATGACTGTTTCCTCCTCAGGTTTAATTTTTGCCCCTCATTTATGTATACTTTATACTTTATGTATACTTTAAAATCATCTTTTGCATTTCTTGTAAGAAGAGCTGGTGGAGGCTGAGAGTCATTGTGGCCGCACAGTCTATGGGGGTATTTTGCAGGAGACAGAAAGGAGCATTACCTGACTCCTTTGCTCCAGCAGTGACTTCTTTAGGGACAACCTGGTATGTTTGAGAGAGAAGAATTTTACAGAGTTGACAAGTTACATGTGAACTGTGCTCTATGTGCAGGTTAATTGTGAGGTGGTGGGGAAGACGGTGGTGTTGGGGGAAGAAGGAAGGGCACTCCAGGACTGGGCCACGTTCCCTACCAAGCGACAGACAGGGTCACTGAGCTGAGTGTAAGTCCCCCAGGCTATCGCCCCAAGAGCTGGAATCCAGGCCACCCTCCCAGGTAGGCTCGCTTTTAAGGGCAGGGATATCGAGCGCCTTCACACTGTTGTGCGGTCCTCCTCTCTATCTGTCCCCAGAACTTGTTCATCTTCCCAGTCTAGACTCTGCCCCATTAAACCCTGTTCCCAGCCCCCACCCCCCACCCCCGGAGTCTGTGGGTCCAACTCCTCCGGCCTCCTGAGAGTTTCCACTCATACAGAATTGGTCCTTCTGTGCCAGGCTGATCTCACTCAGTACCACGTCCTCCAGCTTCATCCACATAGTAGCAGGTGTCACGATTCGTTTCTTTTTAAGGCTGAATAATGTTCCATGGTGTGGACGGACCATGTCTTGTTTATCCATTCACCTGTCAGTAGACGCTTGGGCTGCTTCCACCCCTTGGCTATTGTGAGGAGCGCTGCCGTGAGCACGGGTGTGCAAATACCTCTTCAAGATCTGCTTTCAGTTCTTTTAGGTATATATCCAGAAGTGGAATTGCTGGATCACATGGTAATTCTATGTTTAGCTTTTTGAGAAACTGCCAAACTGATTTCCACAGCGGCTGCACCATTTTATATTCCCACCAACAATGGTTCCAATTTCTCCACATCCTTTTCAACATTTTGTTTTTAATTGGGTATAATTGACAGTTTTCTGGGGTTGTATTCTTTTGTTTTTAATAGTCGCTATCCTCATGGTGTGAGGTGATATCTCATTATGGTTTTGATTTGTATTTTCCTGATGATTAGTGATGTTGAGCATCTCTTCATGTGTGTAGTATATGTCTTCTTTGGAGAAATGTGTGATCAGATGCTTTGCCCATTTTTTTTTAAAATAATTTTTTATTGTTATGTTAATCACCATACATTACATCATTAGTTTTTGTTGTAGTGTTCCATGATTCATTGTTTGTGCACAACACCCAGTGCTCCACGCAGAATGTGCCCTCTTTAATACCCATCACCAGGCTAACCCATCCCCCCACCCAACTTTGCCCATTTTTTAATCAGGTTGTTTGTTTTGTTGTTGAGTTTTAGGAGTTCTTTATATATCCTGGATATGAATTCCTTATCAGATACGTGATTTGCAAATATTTTCTCCTGATCTGTAGGTTGCCTTTTCATTCTGTTGATTGTGTCCTTTGATGAACAGAAATTTTTAATTTTGATAAAGTCTAATTTATCAGTTTTTTGTTCTTGTTGCCTGTGCTTTTGGTGTCCTCTCCAGAAATCATTGCCAAATTCAATGTCATGAAGCTTTCCTCCTCCTCCTTAGAGTTTTATAGTTTTAGATCTTTGATCCATTCTGAGTTAGTATTTGTATGCAGTATAAGGTAAGGGTCCAACTCCATTCTTTTGCATGTGGAGATATCCCTTTCCCAGCACCATTTATTGAAGGATGCCTATGTCTTCACTGTTGATTGCCCCTACTGTGCGTATGATAAAACTTGGTTAAATGGAATTTGATATGAGATCCAACTATCTCGGGGCTGTAGGTGATTTTAGGGAAGCCAGTGGAGGGGAGAGGGTTAATTGTGTCTAGGCAGTCTGGAATGAAGGCAGCACCGCTAATAGGGATGGAGGGTTTCAATGACAGTACTACGGGCTGCCGGGGTCTTGGAAGGCTGAGACTGAAGACAGATTTAGGAGAGTGGTAAAACTATGAGCAAAAGGGAACTTTAAAAATGTAGTCTGTTGTGGGGGGAGTGTTGCACAGTGCAGCTGTGAAAATGATAGACTGTGAAAGCACCTTACTTAGTAATATATTTAGCTAAGTCATCGGTTCGCAGGCCAGGTAGACATTATTTCAGGGTTCATGTGCCACATTTGGTCACTGCTGCCGCTGCTTCCTTTTGCTCCCTGTCCCTGTCAATGCCATTTTTGGCTTGTAGATGCTGACCCGTATCCTCCGAGGGGTGGCCGGGTACATGCGCGTCAGTGCCAGGGGCTCTGTGATGACGGCAGGCTTTGTACTTTGTCTTCTCTCTTTTATCTCCTCTCTTGATCAAGGCAAGTTTTTGAGGCAAGGAGCTGCATTTTGGGGGCATGTTGTTTCAGTGACCATCTGCTTGTGTGTAATTACAGTTATTAATTGTCTTTGTTTTGAAGCATGCAGCCAGTAAGGATCCCAGAGAAGTTCAAGAAGCTCGAGATCATGAGGAGCCAAAAGAGGAGATCAACAAAAATCTTTCTGATTTTGGACGACAGCAGCTTTTACCCCCCTTCCCACCCCTCCATCAGTCACTACCTCAAAACCAGTGCTACGTGGCCACCACAAAGTCACAGACAGGTAATAGGGGGACCCAACAACTGTCTTCGCTCTGATTGCGCATTACATGCTTTCTGATGGCGTGTTACGAACCCGCACCTTGCCGAACTAGAAGTGTGTTGACTAAGTGCGTGTGTGCTCTAGATAAGCGGCAGTCGGAGTCATGGCCCTTCTGTGCTCACCTGTAGACCTGCAGAGGAGTGTCACACCTCTGTTCTAAAAACTTGACTAATCCCTGCGTTGTTTCCTACGCTTGTCAAACTCAAAATGAAGATTGTTTTCATTAAGTCTTGTTCCCTTGTTCTAATAGGGTAGAAGACTCTAGATTTGAGGACTTCCCTCTGTTTATAAATTAAGTGCTGTTGGAAACACACAGTGTATTGTGGAGACCTTTGAGTTAAGGTTGTGGAGAAGGATGGTTTGGTTCTGTTACCAGTCACTTTCCCTGGGTGTTTCTCGATCTTTTGAGCTTGCTTCTGTTCACGGTCAGTTGAGGGGATGGGTGAACATTTGATCCCTTGTTGGGGCCTTTGCAGGAGGTGGAGCTGCATGAGTGGCCCCACAGGGAGGATGCTGGGGTAGGTGTATCTCAAGCGAGGGGCCTCCCTCTGGAGCCTCTAAGATACCCACAGTTCCTACAGAGATGAGGTGACTTTCCCCAGTGCAGAAAGGCCCTTTCTGTGACGTCTTCATGCAGGCCAAGCACTCCTGGTGTTGTCACCTCCCAGGAAGGGTACCAAAAATCACAACTTCCATGCCTGCAAGTGTCTCTTTCTTCCTAGGGAAGCGTCATCACAGCCGCTTTGCCTTATTACAGAATTGCTGGTGCGCCTTTCAGAGTTGTGGGAAATACAGAAAGCCTACCTGCTGGTCAGGTGTCTTGGGATGGACAGGGCTTGTGTGGACACAGCCCTCCGTGACTGTGTCCAGGTTCCAGACCACCTTGGTCTGTTTTCTTCAAACCTCACTCCTTCCTCTGCCCTGCCCTGCTGTCTTCCCTTGGGGGGTGGGGGGAGTGTTGGAGCCAGCTCATTCGAGTTTGGATTTCAGGTCATCTCTATTAGTATTTTAAATTACTGTGGTCTTGGCCCCAGAGGTTCTGTTAGCTCCCCATCCTGCCGCAACACAAACAGGAAGGCTACACAGACTCACTGAGGGGCTGCAAAGCGCATCTTACTCTCCGTCCTGTGACTGTACAGGACGCGCATCCCAGCCTGGGCACACCCCTGCATGGTGCCCAGTCACCCCGTTCTCGCACGAGATGGACAGAGCTGCGTTTCCTCACGACCATTTATTGTGCTCAGAGCCACCCCAGTGAACACAGTGCAGGGGGCTGCATGTGTGATTGTCCTGGATGTAACCTGGGGCTGAGGCACACCTGGTGTCCTCGGTACCACGTGCTCACGGGGATGTCTGTGTGGCCCTTGTCATGGTGTAGTTCATGCATGCTCTTCCAGCGTTCTTTTCTTCCACTTTGTAGAGTGAGAACGGAATGGAGCATAGGTTCTCCAGCCTTTTAGTACAGTGCCTCTGTTAAGTGGTTTTCAGATTTTTTTAAAACCCTGGAACTTTTTAAAAAATAAAATATTATAGAGAGCCTCATTCTATAAAGCCAGTCAACCTGGAGCTGCTTTATCTAGAACAGGGTCGAGAGCCCTGAGTCCCTAGGAGCCCCAGCTTGTCTGGAAACCCCAGGCCCCCAGCTGTTCGCTTTTTCCTGTCCTGTGCCTTCCTTGACCTTTTGTACCTGCATAGTTTGCTTCAAGGATTTCTTTCCCCTCGGTTGGTGAACTGCTGGGCGAAAGGGTCCAGGAGAGGACAGACTGGCCAGTGTTGCATGGCTACACTTACTTTAGAGGTGGACACATGTAGAGACTGTGCAATTTACTCCTTGTCGAGGGTGAGAAGTCTGTCAGGCAGACAGATGAGGCCTATCCCCAGTGACTGGCAGTGAGGCCACTGTTCCTCCTCAGCCTCACTCTCGCAGCCGCACTGTTCCTGGGGACAGGACCTTCCCAAGACAGGGGACTGGGTGTGGGAGGTGCTCCAGGGCCCTGCTTCTGATGATCGGTGGGTTTTCCCTTGCACTTCTCCTGCTTACAGCAGGGTGATCATGTTGGCCGTCCACACAGCTTAGTGTTCTATTGTGAGTAAAGCAAATGATCTGTAAGGTACTGTCAGTTTTCTCTGTGCAACTTAGGACAAGTAAGAAATGCCTGTCACTGTTGTGGCATGCTGATGATTTTGGTAATCAGATTTTGTGAATTATCACCTACCTTTAAAAAACATTTGAATGGTATTTCTTTTCCTTTCTTGTCCCCTTTTGACTTTTTTTTTTTTTTTAGCTTGCTTGCCTTTTGTTTTAGCAGCTGCAGTATCTCGGAAGAAAAAACGAAGAATGGGAACCTATAGCCTGGTTCCTAAGAAAAAGACCAAAGTATTAAAACAGAGGACGGTGATTGAGATGTTTAAGAGTATAACTCATTCCACTGTGGGTTCCAAGGTAAGGCATGCCTGCGTTGTTTGCACGTGTGCTTGGGAATCCACGTTTGTGTCAGGACCTCTCTGACCACAAGAGCACCACGTGACCTCGGTCCCTTTTGAAGGAACCCAGGCTCTGAGGTGCCTCGTTCTGGGGCACAGCCTCCTTCCCATTGCTCCCTGACCCCTCATCCCTCACCCTTTCCTGGCTCTTCCCCCAGTGGCAGAGTCGCTGCATCCCACCTTGCAGGCCATGCCCTGGCAGGAGTTGGCAGGTTGCTCCCGATGCTGGGGTTCTTCGTGACAGTGTGCTCTTTCCCGTGTTCCAGGGCGACAAGGACCTGGGCGCCAGCACCCTTCACGTGAATGGGGAAAGCTTGGAGCTGGACTCAGAGGAGGACGAGTCGGAGGAGCTTGATGAGGAAGAGGAGCAGGGGGCCGAGCAGGCTGCTGCATTTCCCACAGAGGACAGCAGGACCTCTAAGGGGGGAAGTGTGTCAGAAACTGACCGCACCCAGAAGGTAGGCCTTTGTCACCCCCTTGGGGAGGGACTACAGATGATGGGTCATTGGTCCTGTGAGGGGCGGTCTGGCCCTTCTCGGCCCCAGTCATTTCCCTCTTTCTTTCTGACTTGGGTGTTTGCATTCTGTTTATCTTGAAGTTTTAGATTTATTTTCATCAGAGGAGTGTTTGCCGTCTTCTACAGCACTCTTTGAAGTAAACATCTGGAGCCTGTGTAGGTTCCAGATGGACAGGAATACACTGAGGGCTGACTGTGTGCCAGTGGCAGCTGCTTGTCACTGGCCTTGGTGTGACTGACCTTGTTCAGCCCTGGGCACACCACAGGTACAGTCCTCCTGCACGTGAGGCCCTGACATTGGGAAGGACTCTTCCTCCTGGTTGGAGTGAGCTTCCGGGGCTGCTGACTGGACCTGCAGAGCAGTTATGTGCAGTCTGCTCACACCAGGTGTATCTCGGTGTGCCAGGTGTGTCCTCATCACACACAGTTCACTCATGTCTACCCGAGGGTGTGCTCTGGGAGGGGGCAGGTGCTGGCTCAATCACAAGTCACTGTCTGCAGGTGGCCCTGGGGGCTCAGCACTGGGCAGGGTCTTCAGGGGTACTAGGTGCAGACCTGAGTAGAACACAGTTCCTGAGTAGATGCTGACATCTGCGTGTGTGTTTATGCTCTTAGTTCGGAGGGGGATGAAGTAGGTGAGGAGGAATAGGAGGAGTTGAGAATCAGGTGGTTGGTTGGAGATGGGTGTGATTGGACTGTTTTTTGTATCATACTTTTTTTGAGAGAATTTTGGACCATCTTTGTATAAGAGGGGCCTTTGTATCTGATGAGGTCTTCTTCTTTTTTTTTTAATGTTTTTTTTTTTTTTTTTCTGATGAGGTCTTCTAAAACTAATGGTAGGCAGAGAAGTTCCAGGTGAGTTCATTGAAATAGTGACCTGTTTGAAGTGTATAATTTTGCGGATTGACTTTGTATATTTTGAGTCAAAGTGCTGTGCGCTGTAGGTACAGCCTTTCCTTCCAGCTCTCAGAGTTTTGGGGGGGGGGTGTCTTATCATGTGTCAGAAGCCACGGGTAATAGTCTATTTATGATTTCTGGGTTCTAAATATGATAAGCATTCTTTTTCACTGGTGATTTTGAATAAATTGGTGTAAGCTGTCTTCTTATACTTCATTGGTTTCATTATGTATAAGTACTTGATTCATGTACATTTGTTTTGGGATAAAATATGAGGTAGATATACTCAAAATGGGTGTATTTTATGGTATATGAATTCTATCTCAGTAAAGCTTTTTAGGCAAAATGTGAGGTGAGGGCCCCATGGCTTCCCTCAAAATGGTTAGCCACATTATGTGAGCACCATTTATTGACTGACGTTTCTTCCCCCTGATGATTTAAAATGTCACCTTTATTGAACATCATATGGCATACGGAGCTGACTCTGTTTCTGGATTCTCCTCTTCCAGAGAGAATCTGGATGCTGAGTAATACTGAATAACTCTATACATTGGTATAAAGGAAAGAATTAAATGGATAGCAAGCCAACAAAAAGAATCAAGAAACAAGTAAAAGTAGAATCGCAAGGACAGTGTGGCCAAATGGAAAACGAAATAAGATAACAGGAACAAATCTAAATAAGTCAGCGATAATAATAAACAGTAATGGGTTTATTACGTGAACTGCTTCAGAGAATAGAGAAAGATGGGAATGGACACTAGCTCCTTCTGAGGCCAAACTCACTTTCAATCCTGAAACAGTATTGGTTAGACACAGCTGTATCTTTGCATAATAGCGATCATAAAGAAGGTAGGGCTTCCCGGGAAGACACTGGTTTATTACAGGAAACCTATTGATAAGACTTACTACATTTATAGATTAAATGAGAAAAACTAGCATTTTATAAAGTTCAGCTGTATGTTTTTTGGACTTGGGGGATGACTTCATGATTTCAGCTGTGACAAGGAACAGTTCACTGATCAGAGTGACTGCACCTGTGCACCGCCACCCAGCTCACAGGCCTGAGTTGTCCCAGCCTCCACTGTGGGCCCTTCCAGTCCCTGCAGAATTGGTTTCTGTGCTTCATGTAAATGGGATCATGCATATGTTTTCCTCTTTCAGAGTGTGACTTGTTTTACTCAGTATTACGTTTGTGAAGTTTATATTATTCATTCATTTTCATTGTTATGCAATGGTGGATTATAAAGTGGTCTGAGGGGCCTCTTTCAGAGGGGACCCATTCAAAGGGTCCATGGGGTCAAAACTGTTATTGTCATAATGCTAAGACAGTATTTACTGTTTTACCTCTCACTCATTGGAGTTACATTGTGGTTTAAACATTTCTGTTTAAGTTTGTACAGTAGTAGACGTTAGTAGACGTAACACACATCAACAAAAGTGCTTTGTCATTCCCAGTAATTTTTAATAGAATGAAGGGTTTCTGAGACCAGAATGTTCAAGAGCCACTACGGTACAGTATTTCATTGGATGACTGTTCAAATTTATGTATCCATTCCACTGTTGATGGACATTTGGGCTGTTCCCAGTTGGGGCCTTTACAGATGACATTGCTGTGAGCATTCCTTTGTGTCCGTGGGGGGCACACCCATACTGGGATTGCCATGTCATGTGGCCAGTGGCAGGCATAGCCGTGCCGCTCTCCCGCTCTCAGCCGCGCGCGCATGCGCGTGCTTCTGTCGCACTAGCTTGATACACTTGGTATTGCCCAGCCAGCGAGTGTAGTGGTGTTGCATTATAGTTCTGATTCACATTTCCCTGACTTCCGAGAAGGTTGGGTACTTTTTTTTACATGTTTATTTGCCATTTGGATGCCTTTTTTTTTTTTTTAAAGATTTTATTTATTTGAGATAGAGCACAAGCTGGGGGCCAGAGGGAGAGGGAGAAGCAGGCTCCCCACTGAGCAGGGACCCCACACAGGGCTCAATCCCAGGACCCTGGGATCATGACCTGAGCCAAAAACAGATGCTTAACCGACTGAGCCACCCAGGCTTAATCTTTTTAAAATACAAATTACCCAGTGGTATTTAAAGATAGCTTTAATATTAAATAAACCTGACTAAAGATATCAGAATCCTACCCCCCCTCAAAAAGAGTTACTTAGTGGTGAACATTTTAAGACTTTTCTAATGTCAGTAATAAAAAGAGGGAGGGATTGCTCCTTTCTCCCCTAACATGAGCGCTGCAGTGTTGATTATTCTTGCTGTGATGCTGTAAAATGAGAACCAGAAGGAAACATTAATATTTAAAAGGACAAGGGAGAAGAGTTTGCCAAGAATATAATCATCTGTCTTAAAAAATTCAAGAAAATCATCTGAGGAACTATTATAGCTAGTGAGCTGCACTTAAATGTGATCAAGACATAAAACCATTCCTTTTCTTGTGTAGCTGCAATAGCCAGTTAGAAAATGTAATGACAACAGTATCAATAATAGCAATAATGCCTAGGGCTATTTTTTAACTTTTCTAATAGAAAATGTCAAGCTATGCCAACATATAGATAATAGTGAACAATTGTTAACACTTGGCCAGTCTTGCTTATCCACACATGGATTGTCTTTTTTTTTTTTTTTTTTAAGATTTTATTTATTTATTTGACACAGAGAGAGAGAACAAGCAGGGGGGTGGCAGGCAGAGGGAGAGGGAGAAGCAGGCTCTCCCCGCAGAGCAGGGGGAGCCCGATGCAAGACTCCATCCCAGGACCCCGGGATCATGACCTGAGCCAGAGGCAGTTGCTTAATGAACTGAGCCACCCAGGCGCCCCACGTGTGGGTTGTCTTGAAGCAGATATTTCCATATGGATCTTTAAAAGAAAAGGACTCTAAAAGCAAAAATCACAGTATCACACCTAAAACTTAGCTGTAAGTCTTTAATACCACAAGGGTACTTAGCAATAAATTTAATAGGAAATGTCAATTCCCTAGATGAGAAAACTGAAACTTTCCTGAAGGAGGTTGGAAAGGAGACATAGGTTCACGTTAAGACCAAGCCATGGTTTGTCTGAGGGAAGACCCCTTGTTTGCCTGAGGGAAGACCTCTTATTTGCCAGAGTGAAGACCCCTTGTTTGCCTGAGGGAAGACCTTTTATTTGCCTAAATGAAGACCCCTTGTTTATCTGAGGGAAGACCCCTTGTTTGTCTGAGGGAAAACCTGATGTTTAGCTAGGGAGGACCTGCTGTTTGTCTGAGAGAAGACCGCTTGTTTGACTGAGGGAAGACCCGCTCTTTGTCTGAAGGAAGACCCCTTGTATGTCTGAGGGAAAAGCTGCTGTTTGTCTGAGGGAAAACCTCTTTTTTGTCTGAAGGAAGAGCCGTGTTTGACTGAGGGAAGACTCTTTGTCTGAGGGAAGACCTCTTGTTTGCTTGAGTGAAAACCCCTTGTTTATCTGAGGGAAGACCTGCTGTTTATCTGAGGGAAGACTCCTTGTTTGCCTGAGTGAAGACCCCTTTGTGTATCTGAGGGAAGATCTGCTTTTTTTTGTCTGAGGGAAGACCCCTTGTTTGGGTGAGGGAAGACCTCTTGTTTGTCTGAAGGAAGACCCTTGTTTGACTGAGGGAAGACTCTTTGTCTGAGGGAAGACCTCTTGTTTGCCTGAGTGAAGACCCCTTGTTTATCTGAGGGAAGACCGCTTGTTTGAGGGAAGACCTCTTGTTCGCCTAAGTGAAGGCCCCTTGTTTATCTGAGGGAAGACCTGCTGTTTATCTGAGGGAAGACCCCTTGTTTGAGGGAAGACCTCTTGTTTGCCTGAGTGAAGACCCCTTGTTTATCTGAGGGAAGACCTGCTGTTTATCTGAGGGAAGACCCCTTGTTTGAGGGAAGACCTGCTCTTTGTCTGAGGGAAGATCTCTTGTTTGCCTGAGGGAAGACTCCTTGTTTGAGGGAAGGCCGGTTACTTGTCTGAATGAGAAGATCATTGTTTCATCCTCTCCACATTGCCTATAAGTCCAGAATAGTTCTCCTCAAGATCCTCAGAGGCCTTTCTATAGAATAGCTGATGTGGGAATTGTGTGCAGCAGGCACAGGGAGATAAAACAGCAGTTAGAACTACTGGAGAGTGATTAAATGGGGATTTGTGCAGGAATGGGAAAGCATTGAGTGAGTGGAACAGGAAATCCATAACAAACCTATTTGTACGTGAACATACAGTTTACTGTAAGGATGGGATTTTAATTTTTGTTTATTTTTTAAGGATGGGTTTTTTGTGGTCAAGGGATCATGAACTTTTCAGTAAATGTTATTGGGACAATTGATCTTCTGGGGAACTCTCGCATCATGTCACATAGGAAGTGTAAATTCTATTCTGGAATTGGATAGTGGTGATGGTTGCACTACTCGGAATATACTAAAACACTGAATTGTACACTTTTTTTTTTTTTTTAAAGATTTTATTTGAAAGAGAGAGTGAGCGGAGGGAGGGGTGGGGTAGAGAGAGAATCTCAAGCAGACTCTGCGCCGAGCATGGAGCCTGACCCAGGGCTTGGTTCCACAACCGTGAGATCATGACCTGAGCTGAAATCAAGAGTCAGACACTTAGGGGCACCTGGGTGGCTCAGTCGTTAAGCGTCTGCCTTTGGCTCAGGTCATGATTCTGGAGTCAGAGGATGGAGCCCCGCATTGGGCTCCCTGTTCTGCAGGAGGCCTGCTTCTCCCCCTCCCACTCCCCCTGCTTGTGTTCCCTCTCTCGCTGTGTCTCTCTCTGTCAAATAAATAAATAAAATCTTAAAAAAAAAAAAAAAAAAGTCGGACACTTAACTGACTGAGCTACACAGGTGCCCCTGAATTGTATACTTTAAAAGTATGAATTTTAGAGTAGATAAATTATATTTCAGTAAAGTTGTTATTTAAAAAAGTAAATTACAGAAGCTTTAAAGTGTCAACATAAAATACCGAATTGTGGAAGAAAATGTTAGAAACTGTTTTTCTAATCTCAAATAAGGAAGGCCTTCTAGTGCCAGACACAGATCCAGAAACGACAAAGAGAAAGATGGAGAGGTTTGATTTGTCCAGATAAAGTCTCAATATTTTTGTATAATAAGAAAGACCAGAAGCAAAAGCTTCACTTGATAGGGAAAATTTTTATAACATATTTAACAGTAGCAATATGGACTGAGGGTTTGGTCACATGAGACAAAGTGGAAGAAGTAGAAAGGTATGTGAAGTTATGGAAGTTGCTCAGTTCCTTGTATACTTGGGGAATGAAGACCAAAGTGATTGTGCAACCCCTTTGGAGGGCTGGTTGTGCCTTTGTGGGCATTGCTGATGGCAGCAGTCTTGAACTCCACATTTGTAAAGAGGAGTGTGTGTCTGTTGGTTTGTCCTGGGGGATCTTAGTTTGTGTAAAGCGCAGCCTCAGTGTGGAACTGATAAGGGTGTGCCTTGATTAGGGAATGGGGAAGTTACTGGGTGCAACCCCACAAAGAACCAGGCTGAGGGTGTGTGTGACCACATCCCTGCCTCAGCGGGTAGGTGGAGAAGGGGTGAATGGATACCCATATATTTTAGTGTTTTTGCATTGAAAATGTATTCATGTATTTCCTGTGTGGATAGAAAAGATAAATACAGCAAGAAAAAAAAAAAATGAGGTTCCTATATTGCCTTGATATGGAAATAATTCCAAAATATATTTTTAATTAGAAGAAAGTTTCATTCACAAAATTGTGTTTGGTGCTCTGCCAGCCAGCAGGCAGAATCATGCTTCTGTATTCAGGCCCATTCGTGCCAAACATTGGCTGGAAGGAGTGTGAGCAGCACTAGCGTGATGGTCCTGGGGGCTGAACTGGGCTCTTGGGTGGGTTTAAAGGGTAGGTTTTGCATTTTGTATTATTTTTTGGCCTCTGGAAATCTTTTTACTATGCATTTTGTTACTTTTTAATTGAATTCTACTACACACAAAATGCGTCAAGTGCACTAGTACTAGTCTTCAGCATACAGATGATGGGCTCTTACGTGCCGGGGGGCTGCCTTCCAGATCAGTACAGAAATACGGCAGAGGAGCGGCCCACCTGGGACAGGCTCTTGGGCAGGGATCAGGCAGGACTCGGAGCTGGTACCGGTCACTTCATGGACACCGCACCGGTGTCATCTCCACCCCCCAGCCTGTGCATGTGCATCTCCAGCGCTGACGGCCAGTGTGTCCAGTAATAATGTGTTTTTATCGAGTCACCTCCACTGAAGGGTCTCATTAGATGTGTTTTCTCTTCGGCTTGTTGTGCGGCTGGCCAGACGGACGGCGAGTCTGAAGAGGAGCAGGAGTCAGCCGGCACCGGGGAGGAAGACGAGGATGGAGATGAGTCCGATCTGGTAAAACCCCAGCCCCGCACTCTGACTTCGTGTTCGGTGGCAGAGGGAAGCAGGAGGCTCTGTAGTCTGTTCAGCCCTTCACTCAGCCGTCATTGCAAGTGTGTGCTTGGAATCTGGGGCCGTGATGGCAGATCTCGTCCCAGACCTTGGGAAGGAGCATGAGAAGGACATCTGAGCAGAGAGCCAAAGGAGACCCTCATCGGGCAGGCAGGGCTAGGGGAGGGAGGTCGGGGCTTTGGTGTGTGAGGGGTGGTAGAATGGGTAGGACTTGGCAGCAAGGACAGTGGCCGTGATTCTGCCCTGTGACCAGTGTGAGAGAGAAGGATTTGAGGTATCTCAGGATTAGAGCCAGCAGGACCTTTTGTGGGCTGGTTGTCACAGGGAGGTAAGCGGTCAGAGGGCAGGGGCACTGGGTCTGTGGGAATGGGGGAGCAGGGGCTTGGAGATGGGGAAGAGCACAGGCCTCAGGATGGGGCCCAGAAAGCACCCAACAGGTGAGCTTGAAGCAGAGGAGGAGGAGTTGATGTGAGACGGGAGGGTCCTGTGAGCTGAGAAGTGCTCCCAAGAGGGAGACTGGTCCCTGGCATCGGTGTGTTGTGTGGGTAGATAAGATGAGGACTTGGAAGGGACAGTTGGGTTTGGTGATAAGCTGCCCTTTGTCTGGAATGGCAGGTTGAAGCGATTGTGAGCTTGGGGGCAGTGCTTGAGGAAGTTGGGTCTGAAATTTTGCAGTAAGGAGGGCAGGGGTGAGGCAGAGGAAATGGAGTGCAGGGTGCATTGGGCCACTGGTGGGGCAGCAGAGGAGCCTGTGTGTGCTGGCGGGCCACCGCAGTCAGAACTGGGCACCCAGCACCGCACCTGGTGTATCTCCTCCTTTCTAGCATCTCTCTCTCTGTATCCCTAGGGAGCAGGGGTTGTGCGATTCTCCTTGTAGACCAGTTGAAGGTGGTGGCAATTCTTGCTCTGTGTCTCTTTGTAGATGCCCTTCCTGCATCTTAGATTTTAGAAATAGATGGTCATAAAAATCTTAAAATACGGTAAATTAATTATAACTTCTTTCCTTGTTCTCCATGTGGATAATTAATGTGGACATAGATTCTGAAGCAGATTGAGGCATTCATTGTTCCTTTTCTCATGAGCAGAATGAATGGATGCATATGATTAAAAGTGGATTCTCTCACTGAGCTTATTTATTTATTTAGTTCCTGACTAGAACTTTCTCATTCTTTTTTGTTCCAAATTTGAGTAAGATTTATAAATTCCATTTAAATGTTCTTGGCTTTTCTTTTCCTTTTTCCTGTAAAATAACAACTTAGTGTGATTTAGGGGAAAACATGAGTATTTTTAAGAATGGGACCAGAAAAATGTCTGAAAGTGAAATTAATCTTCTAGTTGAAGAACCAAGATATAGCAGGTATTTTATTTTGCAAGGAAATAAAACTCCTAGTACCTTTTGCTTTCAGGGGCTCCCATGTTTTGCTTTTTCTATTCCTGCCCCTTTGGCTCTCAGAGTTCTGAATCCAGTATCAAGAAGAAGTTTCTCAAGAGGAAAGGAAAGCCTGACAGCCCTTGGATCAAGCCGGCTAGGAAACGGAGGCGGAGAAATAAAAAGAAGCAAAGCGGTGTGCTGGGTAAATGTGGTGTCCACATTTGAGGACTGTCTGGGTGGGAAATGGGCTCATGGGAGGCTGTCCGGGGGTGGGGTTGGGGTTCTGTGTAGGATTTCATTTGGAAAAGGGGCTCTACTGTTTTAAAGGGGAAAAAAAGTATGAACTTCATTAGAGACACTCAGGTGATCCTCAGGTGGCTTCCTTCTGGCAAATCTCCCTTAATACTGGTTTCATTGTTGAGTGTTGAGCTAATTGGGATTATTCATCTTCTTCCCTGTGTGACCAGGAATCTGTGGCTTCTGAACATTGTATGGTTACCGTGGCTACCCTTGGTGTAAGGTGTGGGCAGTGCCTAGGTCCACACAGTGGCTTTCAGCCCTTTGGTCAGATTCCCCTGTTCTGGAAGTAATTTTGTTAAAGGGGATGCAGGGAAGGAAATGACCCTGAAATCCAGAAGGTGAGCAAGCCTAGTGGGCCAGGGGTCACTTCTGATAGCTTTGTTGCAGAAGATCTGGCATGTGATGATAGTGCACGTGATTCAGGTGCAAGGTGGTGAGTTTTCACGCGTGTATGACCACGAGACCTCCGCCACAGTTATGTCGTGAATGCTCCTGCTGCCACTTGGTGGCCTTTCCCTCTCCCCAGCCAGCCCTCCCCATCCCTAGGCGCCTCTGCTCTACACTCTGTCTGCAGATTGGTTAGCACTGTGTAGGACTTCATTTGAGTGGATGATTGGGGAGGTACCCTTCCCCTGTCTGTCTTTGAGTCATCCATGTTGTAGTACCAGTGGATCGTTGGCCAGGAACGATTCCGTGGTTCATTCTTCACCTGTTGATGGACGTTTGGGCTCTTTCCTGTGTTTGTTTCTTACGTTTGTATACAGTCTTCATTGATCAGACACTTTCACTTATCTCGGGTAAATATTTAGGAGTGGACTAGCTGAGCTGTATGCTATATGTCTGACTTTAGGGAACTGCCAAGAGGTTTTCAGCCAGAGACTGGAGTACCACCCTCTCTCTTTCACGTTCCCACAGCGGCACAAGAGCTCTGCACCTCTGTGTCCTTGCGACACTTGTCAGGGTCGGTCTCTGGTCCCAGTGCTGCTTGGGCACCGCAGGCCTCACTGTGCCTTCACTGTGTGTTCACCTCGTTGAGTAGTGAGGCTGCACACCATGGCCTTGTGTGTCTTCCTTTGTAAAGGGTCCTCTGTTTTGCCCATTTAAAAATCAGATTGTATACCTTCTCACTGACTTGGAAGAGTTCTTGCAAGATTTCGGATATAAGTCTTTGATTATGGACACATTTTGCACATATGTGTGCCTAGTAAAAGTTTAAAAAAATTTGTTGAAGTCTAATTTATGAATTATTTTCTTTTAAAATTCCTGCTTTTTATGATCCCAGAAATCTTTTACTAAGTCAGGTCACAAAGATTATGTCCTGTATTTTCTTCTTGAAGTTTTACAGTGTTAGGCCTGATGGCGTGCATCTCTGACCCATTTAAGTTAGCGTTTGTGTGTGGTCTGCGGCAGGCTATTCCCCTGTTGCGTGTGGATGCCCAGTTGTTCCTGCCCCATTGCTTAATTTGACTTGTTTCTCTGGGTCACCCTTCGAACCTTTGTTGACAGTGTATGTGTGGGCTGTTTCATTTGCTTGTTTATCTTTACACCAGCACCACAGAGCCAAGGAGCTTGTTCTGATTTCCACAAACACTAGCTTTTCTTCTCCAGCCCCCTGATGCACAAGTAGGTTTGCTAAGTGGATGTCAGGGAGGCAGAGCTAACCCCTGAAGCACAGAGGAGAGCTGTCTGTGGAGCCCGTGAGCCTCCCGTGAGCTCCGTCTCTTCCACTCACGTTTCCTTTTCTCTTCACCGCGGATGACTGGCCAGTGTGACTTTTATGCTGGCTAACAAACTTAACAGTGTTGGTAGACTTAAGACCTGCATGTTAAGATGAGTGCTTGAATGTTTATTCACATAGGGGCTCAAATTTTATTTCTTTGTGTAGGGTGTTTAAAGTTGCCCAGGCTGCTCGTATTCTTCACATGCATGGTGATGAGCTGAGCTCTCACAGCGGCTGGCTTCGTCCTGTCTGTCCATGAGCTCCGATGCAGGAGGTGGCATGCGTCCATGGGCCCTGGGTGCCACACTGCTCTGTATTATGGCTCACTTATTTCTGATCACTGACATAATATCAATGACTAGTATTTGGAAGCTTGGCTGTGAAAAACAGGCACCTGCCCTTTGCTAGTGTTAGATATTATCCTGAGTGAGTGTGTACTGTTCACAGGCTTCCTCCGTGAAGTCTGCTCACAACAGCAAGAACCCATGTGGGTTCTCCAGGAATGGTGGACAGGCCTAAAGGGCAAAGGAGGCCTGAGTCTGGGCAGCGCCCATTTCACAGGCCCCTCAGTTGTATTCAGATTGCACTGCCCTCTAGAGCGTGACGCCCTCATAAAGCACCATGTCTGACAGGTGGGTGCGTCCCTGCAGTCCTGCGTCCTTCCCCTTTGAGTCCCGGACTCAGAAGTCTGTGGGGTCGGGCAGGTTTCCCAGCAACACTGCACCTGTGGGGTGGCTTCTCAGCTACTTTACATCAGCTGGTCTTTCAGACCTGCAAATCAGAGAATTTTCTGTTTTATTTTTAAAGTAGTAGTTACAGAACATTTATATACTATGTTTTTATGTTTCCTTGATTATTTGATCGGCCTTTATCTGACTGGTATAGTTACAGAGAAAGATGTTTCCACATGTCAGTTCCTTGTTTTTCATGATATAGCTCCCCCTCCTGCCATGAATAGTCTGTGGAAATGGGGGAGTTAGCAAAATGAGGCGCAGGAAAGAAAACGAGTGAGGCTGCAGTGTCCTGGACAGGGGTGGTGGTGGAGTTTGTGGTTTTGAATGGGTTAATTAGCATTCCCCATGGTCTCTGCTGGAGAGGCGGCCCGCGTGCAGTGTTTCACAGGCCCCTTCTCAATGCAGGTTCCGAAGCATATACGTCATCTTCAGGAAGCGCAGAGCAAACGGCGCCTGGAGACAGCACTGGGTACATGGAAGTCTCTCTGGACTCCCTGGATCTCCGTGTCAAGGGGACGCTGCCCTCACAAGCAGAAGGTGAACCTCTGTGCTGTGACCAGGCCGGGCACCATCTTGCTCTTTGTTTGCTGGGGGCAGCCTCATATTAACGTGATGCCCTCTGGTGGGTAATAATGAAACGTTCGATTAACTGCATCCCGAAAAGGTGGCCGAGTGGATGCACTGGCGTGCGTTTGCCCAGTCCCCCACGGCATGGGAGTGAAACATCTCCCATAAGATCAGGTTGTTGGTGGTCATGGCTTACAATACGTCCCTCCGTCGGTCAGACCCATTTTTATGTAGCGTTCCTGCTGGAGAGGGGTCCTCTTGCCCTGGCTGTGTCGGGAGATACACTGGTGGTTTAATTTTGAATAGCATGGCTTTGTCATCGTCTCTGACTCCAATTGTGATTGGTGTTCAGGTTTGTTCTGTGCTGAAACAGAGGGTACACCTAGTGCTGGTTTGGGCCTTGAAGGGGCAGGCGTACCCACAGCTCACCTGGTTCTGGGCCTGGAATGCTGGGGGTGCGGACAGTCAGCTGGCCGGAGTTGTGCGGGGCTTTCTCTCCACCACTATTTGCTCTCTTTGAACCATTTAAAAACCTTTCATCCATGAAAAGGAACTAATCACTGACTATTTTGGAAAATCTGTTTAAAATGTAATATGGGGAAAATGTAAAATCCCAAAGGTATTTACATTCCACATGGACCTTGCAGTTGTGCGTTATGCGCTGCTATAGGAGTTTAACCTGTCAGTCTTCAGAGGACAAATAACTGGCTTTTTAGGGTTTTGAACACTAGAGAAATTTTGATCACCTCTTTAATGTGGGAAATCACACCTTTAGCGTAAGACACATTGTAGACTTGTCCATCAGAGAAACCATTTTTCTTCTTCTTGCACCAAATAGAGTAGAACGCCTCTCTAATGCCCTGAAGTTGTTGGCATAGTCCCCTCATGCTTTCTTTCCACATGAAGGATAATTTTTCTAAACCTGCTTTTAGGTTTGTTTCAGGAACTTAGAGATTTGGATGTAAGCTGGAAATAGTATTTCATCTAATCAAATTTCCCTTCTGCTGTGCCCCCGTGGTTGGAGGTGAGGAGACAGCGCGGAACACAGTGGAAAGTCCTGTTGCTCACAAGCACAGTGACCTTGGGCTTGCCCCAGTTTGTTAGCTGAGCAACGGGGGATTGTGTGTTTATGTGCTTATATTCTCTTTCTGGTAAAAGTAAGTGCCAAACTGGTGGGAGCCAAGTTGGAGAAGTAGGAGGAGAAAGTGAAGGCTTTCTTAGATTCTATGACATTTTGTAAGTTGACTTCCTAAACTTCATTTTTCCTTGATTGGTAACCACTGATTGATTAGTCAGTGATTGGTCTGTCCAGTCATACTTTTGATTTAGAGAATCAGCGCATTGAAGACACAAGTTGCATTTGCAGCCATGCCTTTTTTTTAGTGTCTGAGTTTTGGACGTTAAACTGGGGGAGAAAGTTGTGGAGCCCGAGGCTGGACAGGAGGGACAGAGCGCCTCAGGCTCACTGGAGGCCTAGGGGGTGTGCTCCGGTGATGGGTGCAGAGGGCAGCTGATGGTTCTGGGTCATGGGTCCAGAGGGTCCAGGCTTGAGCCTTCAGAGTTGTTTGTGCACAATCAGAATCCGCTGCTCGCATGTCCTTCTTCTTGGCATCTTTGCTGCTAGGTGTGCTGAGTTGAAGTTGAGTAACATTATGGTCCCAGCAGATGATGGCGGGGGGAGGCCAGGAGTGGATGACGTGGAGATTTTGGGGGGGAGCCAGAGCTCAGTGGCAGTGGGCACTTAGTGGGGTTCTCTTGAGCCGTTCCCTTGGCGCCCCTGCTGGCTCCCACTGCTGGAGACAGGGGCACACCCCATGCTCAGGGGGCGTCTGAGCCACTGCCGCATTGTCCGTGTGTGGGCCTGGTCCTCACTCCTACCCTCGGCCTTCTCATCCATGCTGGCCGGCCCCTTGGGCAGCCTGTGTCTTCCTTGTTGTAAAATGCAGTTGCTAAGCAGAGTCCTCGCCAGGGCTCTCCCAGTTTTAAACTTGCGGTGTTGCTAATGTTAGTTCTAGCTCACCGTTTCCCTGCTTCCTCTCACCGTGAAGGAAGGGAGTCAGTCTCTTGGGGTGTAGGTGACCCAGAGGCTCAGCAGTGTCACAGGGCAGAATGAGCATGCGGGCTCCTGCCATCAGTTATGGAGGGCCCTGCGTCCTGAGTCTCCTGGTGAGGATCAGCCTCAGATTACACATAAGGGTAGTGGTGGGCAGTGAGGGCATGTCCTCCAACCCATGTGGGCCCACGTACATAGGTGTGGCAACAAGAGTCCATTATTCTCGCTGCCTTTTTTTTCTTTTTTTTTCCTTTTCCTTTTCTTTTTCTTATTTTTTTTTTTAAGATTTTATTTATTTATTTGACAGAGAGAGAGAGACAGCGAGAGAGGGAACACAAGCAGGGGGAGTGGGAGAGGGAGAAGCAG